AAGTCGAACATAGCCAAATGAAATGTGTGTATATATATATATATATATATATATATATAAAAATCATAAAATATCTTTTATAAAATATTATTGGAAACATACGTAAGAATACACTATTGAAAACGTAGTTCTTGATGCAAAAAGTATAAAAGGCCCCGGAAAATCTGATATTCGTGATGGAAAATGGTATATTTTTTGTGTTAAATCGTACGTGTATTTGAAATATCCGACCAAAGGGCCTGGGTAAAAATCGGTGATTCGTTAATTTAGTGCGCGAGCGTTGCGAGAAACTAACTTTGCCACGATAATACGTTTTTCCCGCGCGCAGCCGGAATTGTTTCGTTAGCGGCGCCGGCCAAAGTTCCAGCCGGCGGCTACGCTATTTCATTTTCGAATTTGCTCCACCATGATAATGGAACTCTTTACTGTAATACGCTAAAGCCCGGGACACGCGCGGTCGTACACGATGACCGCAATCTCGCTGACAGAGAGATGGGCCCTTTTGTTTTTCCCGAACCATTCCTTTCTACGGGGTTAATCCCGCTTTTGTGCGAATTAAGAGAAATATATTTAATGATTAAATATACAACGGCGCAAGCATAACATAATTGTACAATAAAATATTTAAAAATGTTCCAAAACTTTATCGCGTGACACGCTTGCCGTGTCAAAGATACCGCCGCATCGCTCAAATTGAGAAATGACGAATTAATTGACGTGAAAATTGAGCGTGAAAATAACGACTCTTTTTATCGGCGATTAATTGCCACTCGCGGACGTTGATCTAAAATTTATCGCTGAATAAACGAGCGTAAATTCTTGAATGGATGTGTTACGATGGCGCTTACAAGCATGCTCCACTTCTTCCGGTCTCGTGAAAGGTAAACAATTACGAAGGAGACAAACGCGAAATCGCCACGAGCGGTCGTTTCGCGAAGTTAATATTTCAGAGAATTCTCTCCAGCGTTGCTCGCTTTTCGCGTCCGGCTGGTCGGGGAGGTTTATAATTGCCATTAAATCTCGATTAAACGAAACGTCGCAAGGGAGAAGGCAGACCCGGCCGCAATTTCGCGAGTTTTAATCTCGCATACGTACGTCAAATTCGCGTAACTCGCCGTGCCACGTATATTTCATTACGCGGCGCGCGTATGATGCGAAACAAAGGATCGGGCCTGCGGCGATGTTATTTAATTTTCGAATCTGAAATACGTGGAAGCGAAGAGAAGGAAGCTCTCTCGCTCCCTCTCGCACGACAAAGCCCGTGTTTCGAACGAGTAAAAAAAAAAAAAAAAAAGAAAAACAACTGCTTTTTATTTCACAAAATTATAAAAGGCGCGCTTTCCTTCCCTCACCTCTTCCTTCCCCTGGACTCTGCCGTAATCGCGATGATAACATTTACTTTGTTCGTAATCTCGTGACCGAATGCAAAAATTTTTATTCAATAAAAAGTTTTTCGTTACAATCTCTTGCTCGAGATGCGCGATATAACACTGTAGTAAAACGGCGGTAATTTTTGCTTTTTATACCATTCGCGTGAATAATTCACTTTGCACCATTCAAAGAATAATTAAGATATCATCTAAATAGCATTTCCTGTTTCGCGAATTGTGCATTCTCACATAAGGGAAAATAATCGATGCGTTATATCCTGTAAAATCGCAATCCGCGATCTCGAATGCGTCCTCGCCTCATTTAAATAGCAACAAAATGTGATCTTTCGCAGGCGAAATTTATCGGCGATTCTCGCGACTGTTGAACCTCTGGGAGAAGATCCGAGCACGTGCGTATGTTCAGCCACGCGGAGAGACTCGACGTTACGACTCGGGCGTTGCATTTGTCACGCACACCGATGCACAATCGCACACAGATAGGTACACGCGCGCAGGGAATGATGATGCTCCCGCGTTCGTTCACTGTAGGCATGAATTCGTAACACGCTCGTCGGCTGCATGCCGAGGCCTCTCTTTGTATACGTTGTATAACGGGTGTAACGAGAAATTTGCGCACGTTATTCGATCCATCGAGCTAACGATTTTGATTAGAAGAATACACGATCAAAAGTCGAAACAGCTACGTTAAATTGTATTGGCTCGTTCAGATTTAAAACGGATCCCCGATTTATTATATCGCTCTTTAAAAGAGTTTATTAATCCATTATTCATAAATCAATAGTGATATTCGCTTTATAAAATGATGAAAGGAAAATATCGAAACACGAGACGAGTGTAAGATCATTCTGGAGCATTTCAACATGTTCCAATATAAAAATAATAATTACTGGATTCACTGGTTAGTATCTTAATGCTTCTTCACACTAAAAAATTTTCGCGATATTGCTAAATTGTAAAAGTATCGAGATCTGCCATATGTGTCGAAATCTTCCTAAACTGCCTTAAGTAACAATCTTGTTTGCGGGTATTTCGAGAACACCCTTTGGAGAACGATTCCGAAAGTACTAACGGCACACCAAGTGCGCGCAACGAGACGGTGGGAGACTAGGATGCACTTCAAGCACGCTGAAGTACTAAAGTACCGTGGCGTGTCTGCCTCGCAAGAGCGAGATCTATAACCCGCGAAAGTGCCACGGCTCCCCCCCCCCTCCCTTTACCCCTCGGCACATTTCTAGGACAACGACGATGTATATAATATTGAATGCTGTACTTACTGTTCTTTGTGAAGGTGACGATCTTCAGAACTTTGCCGAAGCGCGTGAAAATCTGCAACACACAAAATAAATCTTGGGGTGAGAAATCGATCAGTTTTAATGTGTAAAATTTTATTAGTTTACTTATTAAGTGATTTATCAGATAATTTATCATCTATTATCTCGTTATATCATTATGTCAATGAAAAGAAATGTATGGCAAACACAGAGCTATAAATAAATCTATCTCGATAATTGTGATTACGCGATGTCGTTTATAATGATACTGAAATATGCCGATTCTACAATGTCGACATATTGCGACAGATGCTTTGACAGGACCACGTAATAAACGTCTAACTAAAGCTACAATTGTCATAATTGCTACGCGAGCTCGTTTAGAGCAAGAGCGATCAAAATTACAGAATTCGACGGACCGATACCATTACGCGCAGCGGCGAAATTACAAAATAATTGGCGCGGATATTACGACAAAGCGATTTATTTCGGCCGCGCATGGATTATAATATAGCAATTATACCCGCGCAGAAGCGGTCCGTCGAAATATCCGGAATAAAACGGCACGTAATCACGTTAACCGGAACACGGGCGTGTCCTAAAAAATTGATTCGCGTCGTACGTCGAGAGCCGCTGCCGTTTTGCATAAATACCGGCGATATTCGAAAGGGCCCGTGGTGTGTAACGTGCACGCACGCGAATCGCATGAATTTTCAAAAGCCTCTTTGACGAAACAGGAGGCCGGTATCACGCAATATTTACAGGCATATTCAGTATGGGAGGTCGAGCCGCGGGCTAATAATCGCGCACGGCCCCACGTCAAACCGCCGTCATTGTCATATATGTTTGGCCGACAATGCCGATGATCACATTAATGCCGCGTATGCAAATATTTGACCCGGTTGCCATCGTTCGCGGCGACCAATTGCGAGAGCATTTTGGCAAGCGCGCTCTCGGCGGGTATAATAATTCTTTCATCCCCGATTTTCAGCCACGCGACGCGTAAACCGTTTCTTATTTAAACGTCAATACGTTACGATTAATCGTCGTCTCGATTTTCGCCGGCTTTAATTAATTAATCAATTCGCCGGCTCATGGAGCTAAATGACGTTGACTTTTCAAGCGCTCGACAGAGCTATTTTTACGTGCGAGATCGCCCAAAAAGAGCGTATATCTGTTTTCGACGAGTAAATACGTAAAAGCTCGTAAAAGCGTGACCGCGAGGAGAAATGAAACATTTCCGATGCGAAACAGGAAAAATGCGCTAATGCGAACCGCTGTCACGCGTTTTAGCCTCTCCCGCCCCCCCCGGTCCCCGAATATTTAATGTTGCACGCGGCTTGCGGGCGTCGGGCGTATCGAATGAGGAGTTTATATATCGTCGCTAACGCAGCGACAAAAATCCGTGAAATTAAAAATGAAAAAATACGCCGGACACATTACGAGAAAAAGAGGAAAAAAAGAGGTCGCGATATATCCGCACCGGAATATAAAATGTGTATTGATGCGTTCCTTACGAGCCGCGCTTTCATTCTACCTTCTTTTCAAAGTCCGCCACTTATTCCTTTGACTTGGCAAAAACGTGAGTCCCTTCTTTGGTATCCCTTAACATATAAATCTACACGATTCCCGCGACTTTAAAAAAATTTTTGCACTCAAAAATACTGCAGAACTCGCGTCGTTTTCGATCTAATGACGCTTTCATCTCGATTTCTACATCGCGTTTGAAAAAAAAAATTACGACTGCGTTCTTACATTTTAATTCGTTCCAAGAAAGAAAAAAGTCGTATAAAAGAGAAATGATATGCGAGCGCAAACTGATTTTTAAAACTTGCTAATGAGTACGCGCAAAGAGAATGAATACACTTTCTTTGAATACGCCCGCATATTGCATTCTTTCGCGAATTAATTCTCGATTTTCGTACACATTTCTTGACGAACCTAGTGAAAAAAAGAAAAAAAATACTGTAATAAGGAATAGAGATCTACGTTTGAAGAATGCACTCGACAACGTGAGAGCGGCTCGAAAGAATGAAAAACACGCGCCGTGGGGTTTTACGCAACAGTTTTGTAATTAGTGGACTCCAGAGAGAAGGAGAAAAGACGTATACTGCATCCGCATGATGCACGTCAAGTGGGACAAAAGAAGTTTTTGCCGTTTTACTGACATGACGAAGCTTCAAAACTGGGATGAAGCTTCAATAATAATGCAGTGTCTAGTGCCCATTCTCATCGGGCTGATATAAAACGGAATTTTTTAACCGATAATTGAACTGAGATCGGTGAAACATTTACTCTCCTTAAATATACAGACTATAATGACAGATTCTTTACCGAGTTTGAAAAGACAATATTTTTCTTACAACAGGTTTTATGAAATATAATGATTATATAAAATCTTCTGGTTATATAATATCATACTATTATCAAATAAAAATTTAGGATTCGACAAAATTTTTATTTGGTTTCTTTGTATATCGACTCATTTCATAATGTTTCCTTTTGTTTCCCTTCGAACTGATAATAATCAACTTTTTCTAATAAAGAGCAAGTAAATTTTTTAGCGAGATCTTTAAAAATCGTTTCGAATGTACGAGATCACATTAGCGGAGAAAAATGTAATTTGCCCGAAAACAAACAACGATTATAATCATTACAGGGTACAATAAAACGGCAGTAACGATAAAAATCTCTGCAAATAGATCCTCATTGTCGTTTACATTTATGTACCTCGTTGCTTGCAACGAGGATCATTTTTACGGTAATTGTGTTTGGATTCCGAGTTCACGGACTAGCAATTACACAGATAAATCGATGCATCTGTGAGATTCTTTTCATTTGTAGATAATTTTTAATTAAGCTCGCGTAAAATGCGCGAGCTTATAACATTATCCAAAGAAAACATATTCTCATAAATAGTATATTCTCCGCGTAATGTAAGAATATTTTCGAATAAACGAGAAAATATTTAATTTCTATATTATTCATATATTACGAATGTTATAAAAGTCAAGCAATAAGTATCTTGCATACTGAGTCACATTACATTAAATACGGAGATCTCTTATTATCATCGAAACGTTACGCTCGGAGAGATGGTAAATTAAAGATTGAGTAAATTAAAAGTAGATGGATCGTTCGCGAGCGCGGATTCACAACGGACGGCAGAGAATCGCGAAGGTGGAGAAGGTGATAACGATAATAATGTTTAGAATATATGGATTACGGTTCCATCCATTACATCCGTACGTCCGCAGCGTCCATTACAAGCCGCAAGATCGCTCGTAATAGTTCGTTCGACTATGTGCATTTCCTTCTCTCTCTCTCTCTCTCCCTCTCTCTTTCTGTTTCTCTCTCTCTCTTAATGCAACTGCAATTGCACGCGTTTTCCTGTGAGTGGTAACCGTGCACTTTATATAACGCGTATATAACACGAAAAGTAGCAGTACCATCACCATCACTACCATCATCATCACCGTCGGACCGTACATGTTTTTATCCGTTTTCCGATAAAACGGGAAATATTTCAATTTTGATATTCGAATTTTTGCCAGTCGCGCTTCCGGCCCGGGAATGCATGCGTCCGACCGAAAACAGTTCGATCGCGAACGGATATGAAGTCGCGATGCGTCCGTGAGTATTTACTCGAGATTGCGCCAATAAACGAACGTATCGACGAATAATCGCGAGGAATCACGAATGAACGAGGAAAGAAACATGAAATAATACACGCGCGGTTCCATTTATTTATCGGACGAATTTTTGTAGAAAGTTGCCACAAGCAATCTAATCTCGCGTAGGTAAAAAAACTTTTAATACAAGGTCTTTATCTCGAGAGACAAAGTTTTGAATTTTTATAAACTTATATGCAACCGTAAAATATATTCTCGGTTAGTTAAAATTTAAGTTTATTCAGTTATGACTTTTCCGCGATAATTTATTTTACGTAATGTGAAACGTAATGCGTCGATAACAGATTAATGCCGTATAAACGCAATGGGAATCTGCGCCTTCCATGGCATTTATATACGCGTCCATTACAAACATACTGCACAATAAAATTAATTAAACCGGTATTTAATTAATTACTCGAAATCTGACAAATTTTCCGCTTGCTGCACATCGCGCTGCAAATTGTCTCTGTGAATTTAGGGAGAAATTCGAGAATTACCCCGTAGGCGATAACGTTTATTATCGATGTGCAATTGATGCATTCCGTGATTGCTGTCGAATACACGCAAACTTCTGTTCATTGTTGCACTAGTATTTCCCTCTATTCCACTATTAGCGTTTGCCCCTTCTACTGTTATTAGAGAGATTAGGGAGCTAAATATACCCGGCGGCCATAATTACTTTACAATATGCATCATACGACTGAAATTACGTCGGTTATTTCAAAATAAATATCATTAAATAGTATAATTTTGATGCGACTGGAATTTATAAAATATTGGAAGCTTGAGAAAATAGTTTGTTATTTTCAATCTATAGCTTTATTTTGAATTTATTCAAGTTTATTATTTGAAAAGGAAATATTTTTTTCCCCGATACAAAAGTATACATTGTTGGCATATATTGGCATCGAGAAAGTAATCGATAATATTGGATGTTCCAATACTTTGCAACTTTGTAACGAATAGATTAAAGCAATCCGCTTTCACGCCCCGATGGATAAACAGAAGCGAAATACACATCGCTCGCCGAAATGTAAATAAATGGAGGAAAATCGGGAAATCCAAAAATAAGTCGGCACCTCGGCGAAAGAAAATCGCAATTCAAATTCTACGTCGGATTGAAACTGGGACGAATCGACTTGTTTGCGCGCGCATCATTTGCGACGAAAGTTTTAATGAGAGTCGAATGATGAAGTGCATGCCGGTGTAACAGTTTCTTTGCTGCATTTTCAAAGAAAGAAAATCGGATCTATAAATGCTAGAAATAATAAAAAATATCCAGCACGTGAAAAAAAAAATCAACAAAAAAAAGCATACTTTATTTTAGATGCGATAGAACGTCAACTATATCGCGACCAAGTTAATTCTGGAATAATTCTGG